TTAAATAATTCCTATTAAAAGAAATTCTAATTTAAGCGGGTCCCAGGGAGATTGGCTTTAAGTTATTCAAATAGTTATTTTAAACTTTGTAATATATATATATATATATATATATATATATATATATATATATTAAGTATTTTCCATTTTTCATATACTGATTTTTTCTATGAAAAAAAAAATGGTTTAATTTCATATTTTATTTGTGGAAAGACAATACTCCAAAGACTTGAACCAATTATTTTCTTAAGAACTCTTAGAAAATAAATAATAAATACTAAATATTCAAGTGTAAACAACATAGATAAGGTATCAAATAAGATATTCTTAGTTAATTAATAAATTCAATTCAATTTGATTTACTTGAACTCAAATCAATTCTATTTTAAGTGAACTCGGCCAACAATTAGCCCAATACAGGTTCAATTTATCTTAACTCAAATCGATTCAAATAAAGTATATATAACCTGATCCCAGCTCAAACTGTCGAGATTATTGTTTTTTTCTTTTTTCGATTCTTAGGTGCAAATGGGGCTCAAAGCAAGGTTACAAAAAAGGGGGCGTTTTTAATGGATGGATGAAGACATGTTGAATGCATGTTTGAAACAAAATTTTTAGGGTTTTGTGGGAAAAAAAGAACCAAGTGACCAAACCAATCAATGTCAAGGGCCTCACAACCATTGGTTTAATTTGAATAAAGCTCTCTCTTTGGAGTGGTGGGAAGAAAGAGCCATGTGATGTTGTTGTTTAGTGGCCCTTTGTGAGTATTTATTCCAAATGTTCGGTTGGGAGGGAGTTGAGAACAAGGGCACCATTAAAACTCATCCATTCTTGTTGTTGGAAGTATATACTTAGAGGGTTTTGATTATTCATTTTGGGAACATGGATGGATTTCATTGTCTTCTTGAGGGGCTTTAAAAGGGGTAGTAGTTTTACGAGTAGTCGTTGTGTTGTGTTGTGTATGTAATCGAAATATGGTTTCATAATGATCGAAACCATGTATCCGTACGAAACCCTGTTGGTTTTTTAAACAATTGAAGTTTGCTTTCTCTTTGCTATTCTTTTTCGCTCTCTCTTCTTCATAACAAAGGGGGTCTTTCTGTTGGAAGAAAACTAACCTCGAGAATGATAATACAATGTCTGGGTTGGGGATACAAAGCCCCCGCGACCTTGTCCCTTTCTCAGTCTTTAAAAGAAAAAGAAGATATTTTTACAACGTTGGATCGAGCTACTTATACATCTCAAACTACACAATAATTTCAAAATTTTTTTTGCATTATTGTTTTTCATTGTTATTAATTAATTTTCCCTTTTATCTAAGACAAGAGAGGGCGATGACAATAAAATGGTGTAGGGCAATGTCAAAGAAGTAATCTTTGACCTTACTCCCAAATACTTTAGACTCTCCTCCTTATCTTGGGCCCTTGCTAATTTAAAATATCATAAGAAAGATCCTATTCGGATGAAGCGGATTGAAATATTCATCTACTTTTAATGAAATTTTCTTATAATAGTAGTTGTGATTTTCATTATCAGATAAAACCATTTTATCTGAAGGGAAAGTATCCTTTTGGTCCTTGAATTTTTGCTTATACGTCAAATTGGTTCCTAATTGACCCTATACATAAAAAATCGTGCATTTTTTATTGCCCTAGGTTTCTGGAATAGGTTTAAATGCTCCTTAAACTGATGTCGTTAGGTATATCTAACGAAAAAGATGATTGAATTGACATGGCATATCTGAGTTGGAATATGTGCGTTATGCCCAATTGTGTAGCGTCAATCTAATAAATGGGGAACCCAGTTAGAAACTCTAATGCCTCCACATAGAATGTAACATCACGCTTGATTGGTTCTAAATGGAGGCAACCTTTCTCTAGTGTC